AATGAACAGCATGTTCATTGTATCTTTGTGTTTCAAATGTGAAGTCTGATGGAATAATGGAGCACACACTGGGTATCTGGAGCCTCAGCGCACGTGTGGTCCTTTCTCTTTTCTCCTTCCTACCTCCTCATCCCTAAGATGGATTCTTAGCTATCAGTCCACCCAGCCCCCTGCCAAACTCTACTCCCTGTCATCCCCTGATTCTGTGGGGTCTGGATGCAGGCACAGGAAGAAGATAGGAAGGTGTGCATGCCAAGTTATGGGACAGGGACCTACGCTGCTGTGATGGCCTGCACTCGTCTTGTACTACTATGCCCAAGGAAGAACATTAGAAAGTGAATAATAAACAGCATGACAGGTTAAAAAAAATCACAGAAAAGAGGACAAAAGCCTTTTTCCAGCTTTTTTTTTTTTTAACAAGAGGCCTCCCCATTTTCATTTGCATTTGTCCACACAAATCATGCAGCGAGTCCTGAGTACTGTTATTACCATCACTTCAAAAAACTGGACAATGAGATTGAAAGAGGCTCAGTAATTTGCCCAAGGTGACACAGCTGCCAAGTGGCAGCATTCAGAGAATTATATCTCAGGGGTGAGAGAGAACTTTGAGATCATAAAGAACTTTAGCCCAGGAACCAGGAGACTTGCATTCAACTTCTGACCACAACTGGGCAAGCTGCCCATTCCACCTCATTTTTTCTAAGTGAAAGCACTCTGTGTAATCTTTGGCAGCACAGGTCTCGGGATTTGGCTTTGCAACTTACATAGGATGTGACTTTTGAGTACAAGGAAATCATCATTCACCCCACTTCCCCAGAGAGCTGCCATGAGTATTCAGCAGATGACAATCACTCAACCTAATGATACCTGAAGTCATATAAAGCACTTTCATGCCATTCCCTCCCCCAGACAACACTGAGCAGAAGGTCGAGAAAGAAGTATTATTTTCCTCATCCCATGGACAGGAATGCTAAAGCATCAGAACTATAAAGTGACTTCCCCCAGCTCCTACTGCTTTTCAAGCAAGTTTTGAATAGGTTTTAACAGGGCTCCCCAGGCACAGTCTCATAATATGAACATCCACAAAAGAAGGGTCACCACTTTGGGTAGTCCTGATGTGGAAAGACAGAATGGACCTCTCAGGACAGAAGCCCCAGATCTGAGGGAATAGGCTCCATCCCTGGTCTTGAGGGTCCCAGGTCTGAAGGAGGAGCCCAGAGAGGCATCCAGGAGTTCCTGAGAGAAAAGAAATACCAGGTCGGCAGCATTCACAGAGTGACTCAGATCCTGGAAGATACTTACCCAACATAGGTGGGGCATGATCTACAGAGCATAGACAAACAGGCAGACAGAAGGATTGAGGGACAGGTCACAGCATAAGCATCATCCTCTCCACGTACAACCAGTTCACTGGCCAGTCCTGGGGAAGGTTTCTGTTGTGAGTTATGCCATTAACATAGACCCAGCATGTTTGTGTCTTTCCACAATGTCAGAATTTATTGAATAACCATAAATTCATAGCTATACCACTTTCAGGAGTGGAAGTTCACTGAATATTAGGGTGATCACCTGTAGACATAAGTCAGGCAATCACAGGTTCTTTTATTCCAATCTTAACTACTAATATTTATAATACTCAAGTCACATCGGGGCGGGATATCTTACAGAAAGGCTAAGAAAGGGTTAAGGCAGCCTCAGAGGTTCAGGAGGCTAAACTAAGGGCAAAGTCTGAGCAGATACAATGCAAAGAATCACTGTAAGTGATTAGATCAAGATTACTTATTCTAAGTGAAGAGCTCTCAAAGTGCAGGAACTTATTCTAGGCCAGGGGTCAGAGGGCAGTTTCAGAGTGTCAGCTTGAGATATCCGTTTGGAGTGAGCTGTGCATGGTCTTCACAGGCAGCAGAAACCACACTGTGCTGAAGCCCCAGGATAGAGAACTGGAGGTTCTTCGTTATGGCGATTTTCCTGGCAAGGCTTTTGACAAATGACCAAATGACAGGGTTAGTGTGCCACTGTGTCCCATCTTGGGTGCTCCTCCTTTTATAGGCCTCAGGTGGAGAAAGTTGCTTCATTTGGTACTCAAGTATTTTAATAAGCTCATGGGCCTTTTTTTTTCTGATATGAGTTTGATACACCCATGCATCCATGTGCTTCTGATTAATTCAGTAAGTTCACAGGTGATTATTTTTAATAGCACAATGAATTTATCAGTTTGTGCTTTATGGTTGTGCTAGACAGATAGTAGTTGTTTACTCATACAAACAAGACGTAGACTCATTCTACCTCAGCACTTACCTCAAAATGGAGTAAGCTGGGGGCCAGGGTTGTGGCTCAGTGGTAGAGTACTTGCCTAGCATGTGTTGGGCATTGGGTTAGATTCCCCACACCACATAAAAATAAAAATCAAATAAATTAAATAAAATAAAGGTATAAAAAATGGAGTAAGTCAGGGCAAACGACTGCTTTTTAAAATGGAGTAACTCTGGGTTAGGCACAATCTGAAAACTACTGTTCTATACATCATGAAGTAATTGAGAGCAGGGCACAGCCTGCTCTCCATAGCCTCCACCTACAGAGAGGGTGAGATCCAGGTGACCAGAAGTCATTCAGCCTAGTGGTATTCCTTTGTCCTACCCAATACCCCTGGGTTCCTCAGTCCCCAGTTCCCATGGGAAGAACAAAGCATTTACAACACCGGACCCTTCCTCCTGACAGCTACCTCTCTTGCCTGGGGCTTCAGATGACCACAAGATGTGACTGTGAAATGGTTCCTGAAATCACCTGTCCATTTCCAGTCTTTCAAAGAAGCACAATACAGAACAGTCCAATAAACTTTCTGAGATGATGGAACTATAAAATCTATATTTCACTTTAAATAAGTCAAATGTACATTTAAATTGTCAAATGTGGCTAATGGCTACTGTACTTGGACAGCACAGCTTTATAAACAGTGACAATAAAAATGGAACAAATGCACCATGATTTGGGGCTTCAAAAGCACTGTCACAATTACCTTCTCCTTGTCTATCCTGCAAAAGAAGTATTTATCCCCATTTTACAGAGGAGGAAAATGGAGCTCAGGAAAGTTAAATGGCTTCCATATGAACAGAGTTAGTTTAAAATGGGATTTAATCTCAGATCTCTGGATTCCAAAATTCTGCCCATACTTCTATGCAACACTTAACGCAGTTATGCAGTCATGACATATGTATAGGTCATTGTTATTAGGTGTATACCTCTGAGCTAAATACTTAAAGACAAATCAGGCATAGCCTAGACTTTGGGTGGAAATCTCTGGACAAAGGCAGTATAATTGCCACAAAAGGAATATGGGTATAAAAATTATTTTGTCTTTCAGATAGCTCAAAGCACTTCATTTTAAGGGTCATTGTGCCTCATGACTCTCCAATTTATATTTCAGGTCCCAACTCTGCCCAGAATTCCCAGTGGATATATCAATATCTAATTGACAAGCTTCTCAAGCTTGTCCCATATGCCCCACCTCACCTCAGTAAATGGAAATGCCCTTCTTCCAAATGTTCCACCTCAAGCTTCTAGAGTCACCCATGGGACATCTTTTTTTCATGCCTTTCATCTAATCCACCAGCAAATACTGTTGGCTCTGTCTTGAAAAAGCATCCAGAATGCTCACCATCTCCACTGCTGCCACCCTCACCTATCATCATCATCTCTAGCTAGGCTGAAGCAAACTGTTCTCTTGAGTCCCTCACTTTTCCTGATCTTTTTTTCCATACAGTAACTAAAGTGATCTTTTCTTTTAAAATTAAAAAGTCAAAATATGTCTCCTGTCAGTTTAAAGCTCCCAATGGTTTCCCAAAGTCCTTTGGTAAGGTCCTGGGGAGTTTAGGAATAGTCAAAAATGCCTCTCCAACCTCATTTCCTACCACTCTCTTTGCTTTCCAGGTTTAGCCACACTAGGTCTTCCTGCTCACTCTTCCCTACAGCTGTTGTCCAGTTCACTCTCTCCCTTCTTCAGGACTTCTGACCAAAGGTTTCCTCACGGCAGAGGCATTCCCCACTGGTTTATCATGTTTCCATTTTGTTCATATCATTCATCACCTCCTGACATGAATATGTTTACTGGTTGTTGCTCTTCTCCCACTAGAGTGTGGGCTGCTAGGATAAACATAAAATATACAAGCTGTCCAGTTGGATTTGAATTTCAGATAAGCAACGCATCATTTTTCAGTCCCAGATGTTGATTATAGCCAAAAAAAAAAAAAATCCTGTTTATCTGAAATTTAAACTTTACTGGGTGTCCCGTATAATATTACTTGCTAATTCTGGCAACCTTTTTCAGGAAAGCAAGGACATTGGTTATTTTGCTCATTGCTGTATCCCCAGCATTAGAGTAGCTCTTGAAATGTCCTCCTCAATAAACACTGAATGAATGAATGTGTTCAACCAGATGATTAATCCGAAACACGCCCAAACTTTTAATGAATGGCTTGCGAGTCAGAGGGGTGGATCCTGTAGACTAGGTTAGTCCGGCTGGCTACCGACGGCCTGCACAGCTGACAAACTTTCCAAGCAGGTCTGGCAGCCGGGTGCTCTGCCCATCCCGCCACCACTCCTCGGCAAACAAACCTCCACCCGGCTCAGAGGAGCTGCAGATCTCCAGCGGCCCTCCTGGGGGCGGGGCCTCCCTAACCAGCAGGCGCGACCCAGCCCTCGCCTAGAGCCGGCACCCCTCTAAAGCCCCGCCTCCCTGCCACCATTCGCCCTCTCTTGCGTGACGTCACCCAGTGGGCAACCAATGGGGGCCCGGCTTACTGGCAGGCGGTGCCGGGGGCCACTGCCAAAGGGGAAGTGAGCTGAGGCTGGAGCGATGGCCCGGGTTTGGTGCCCGCGGCCGCCGCCGCCGTCGCCGCCAGCGCGTCGGGAGCAGCCGCGGCCGGAGCCGGAACGGGGGCCGAAGTCGCGGCTGGAGTGGGAGCGGCGTGTGTGAGTAGCTGAAGTCGTCCGTGTCGCAACACCTCAAACTCAGCCGGAGCGCTTCAGGTGGGGGGAGCTACGGTCGCCCCCTGAGTACCGCCCCCTCGCCCCCCGGCCCAGACAGCAGGGCTGGGGTCTACCAGGCACCGGACTAGCTGCTGTCGCTCCAGGTCCTCCTACCCGGACTCCCTTCAAACTCAGGACGGAGGCCAGAGAACGGTGATCATCCCAAACCCCCTCCGCCTTCCCGGCCGGAGCTTTTTCCCATCGCCCGGGCAGAGTTCCGGGTTGTAGTGCGGCGGGGGCAAACCCCCTCCTGCCGCCACTTCTCCAACCAGCGAGTTCCCACTGTCTTGCTCTGCATCGCCTCTTCTCCACCCTTTTCAAGAACAAGTCCTGTCCCAGACGTTCAAAGTATCTATTCTGGGTGTCCTGCCCCAGCTCTTGGAGCACTCTTAGAAATATTGCCTATTTACCAGGGCTGAGAATATCTCATTCTTGACGTAGCTTTTCTCCCCTTTGGGAGATAAAGGTTGCCCCCTTTCCACTCTCTTACCCGACAGACACTTCATGACCCAGGCTTTAGCTATTTGGATCATCAGCGCCTCGGCCATCTCTATGTGACTTCCCCCACCCGTTTGAGTTCCAGTGTCCTCTGGGCTTCATTCTCCAGCCCCCAGCGGATCTGGTCAGTCCCGCCCCTGGGTGGGAGTGACCAGGGGGCTCTGGCCCAGGATTTCCCACCCTGGAAGGTAGTAGCTCCAAAGCAGCAAGAGAATTGGGCGTCGGGTACGAACCTGGCAGCTCAGGAGTGGGTGCACCACCCACCCCACACAAGAAGATGAAAAAGCGCAGAGAGCTTAATGCATTGATCGGTTTGTCTGGGGACAGCCGGAGAAAGAAGCCCAAGAAAGGCTCAAGCAGCCACCGTCTGCTACGCACTGAGCCTCCTGACTCAGACTCTGATTCCAGCTCAGAGGAGGAAGAGGAATTCGGTGTTGTTGGAAATCGCTCTCGCTTTGTCAAGTAAGTAAATGCAATGATCAGGGCTGGGAGGGTGAGAGCCATCTCCTTGCACTACCAATGGGACAAATCAGTGGGAAGAAGAAAGAAGTTTATAAGAAGAAAAAAGGTAAACCTTAGAAGGCAAAGAGGGAGAAAAGATGTTCAGATCCTGAATAAAGGATAAGTTGGAGGTCAGTCTTTAGGTATTGAAAGGAGAGCCCCACCTGTAGGGTGAAGGTTGTGGACGTGGGGAATGTGCCAAAAGCCCTGGGAGATTTAAAGAGGCTAAGGATAGAGGGGCAGAGAAACTTTTGGGATTAGAATGTAGGAGAGTCCGGACTATCTTCAAACTGCTAATTATTTTTTGTACTCATATATGAGTCTAAATCTTGGTGGGAGAATATGGTGAGGGATGTATTATAGAAAGTATGAGACTTAAGAGAAGGTGGAGGGTGAAGGACAAAAAGGCAACTTTTCCCAAAACTATTTTTAGTTGGCGCAGTCATTGAACAAGTAGTGTGAGCTTTGAGCATGTTGGAAATTGGAGCTGAACCTGGTAAAGGGACCCTGTTAGAAGACACACTAAAAGAAAAAGCGAATTTTTCTGAGGATTTGAAAGCAAGAGCTAGGCAGAAAGTTGGAATGCTAGAAGAGATTGGATCCTTTGTGTTTTTATTTAGAATGTCTACCTTTTTGTTGTTGTTGTTGTTTTGTTAAATAAGAGTATGGTTTCTAGTGACTTTTTCAGATTAGGTACTTAAACTTGTGTTTGGGGTATGAAGGTTTAATGATGGGTTAATTCTAGAATAGTTACCCTACTGGGTTAGTTTAGACCTTGAGGTCTGGATGAGTTTGGTGTGAAATCTAGCTTGTTTGTTTCCTTCCTTCTGAGCCAGTAAACTAGAGTGCACCAGGTGTCCACTTAACCCTACAGATCCTATTTCTTTCTTTCCGTTTTCAGTAAAACTTGTTCAAAAGTTTGTGAAGTTTCTATACACTGAAACAAGGTCCCCTGGAGTGAGCGAACTTATATTTGAAAGTGAAAAATAGGTACATTACAGTACGGTGATAGTTGAAGAGAACCACTGGTTTTATACTTTTCTAATTAAGCTTTTCTCCAAAGACCTCTTGCCTGAATTGATGTTGATGGCATTATTCTTATGATAGGGGAGACTACTTACGATGCTGCAAGATCTGTTATCCTCTCTGTGCTTTTGTCATCCTCGCGGCCTGTGTTGTGGCCTGTGTTGGCTTGGTGTGGATGCAAGTTGCTCTGAAGGAGGATCTGGATATTCTCAAGGAAAGATTTAGAACAAGTAAGTGGTCACCCTTTTCCGAGTATAATCTGAAACTCTTTTCCAGGTTCAAGGACAAATTGACCATGCTGAGTTTTGCCCATTCTGATAAAGCAATTGTACATTCTTTTCAGCATGTTTATACTCTTTTCCAGCTGTCAACTTGAATGTTACAACAGTTGTTTTTTGGTTTTGGAGATAGGTACTGGAAATTGAACCCAGGGACTCTTTACCACTGAGCTACATTCACATCCTTTTTTATTTTTTATTTTGAAATGAGGTCTTGTTAAGTTGCTAAGACTAGCCTCAAATTTATAATTCTCCTGTCTTAATCTCCCAGTTTGTTGGGATTATAGGGGAGTGCCACTGCTCCTGACCAATTATCTCTTTTTAAACTGATAAACAAAAGACAGTGCTTATCCACCAGTATTTTAGATGCTACTTGTCCACCAGGACATTGCAGTTGACTCTTAGAGTACAGAAAGGAAGAGCAGCCTTGAGCCTTGGTTAACCTCCATGTATGACCTGGACGCCACTAGGTGAAGTGGCGATAGAAGGCTCATTCCTTCTACCTTACAGGAACAGTTGGGAAGGAGGGTAGGTGTGTCTATCAAATTATTTTCTCTTATGAAAAAACATGTAGAAACATAGCAGTAAGCAACTACAATAACCAACATTTATGGAATGCCTACTATATGCCATGTCACAAATAAATCATTTTATTATTTTTATGCTCTTAAAATCAAAGAGGCTTAGAAAGATTAAGTAACTTGTTCAGTGATTACATGTGGCAGACCTGACATTTGTACCTGGTCCTCTTGCCCCTTGCTGCCCAGGTTCATGTGTATAACCACTAGTATATTGAATCACTGTTGCCAATGCTTGTGTAAGTCTATACACATTTCTCCAAATACCCATAGATTTCTTTGATATTAACTTGGGTCAGTAATCTAAGAGAAGTTTAGTAGAAATACCAGAAGAGCTGGTTTTCTGCATATTTATCAGCTTTCAAGCATAGAGCAAAAAAACCCCCAGATTTCCCTCTTATCTTTATCTATGCTTATTTGCTTGTTTGTGGCATTATGTGTTTTAAGGAAAAGACTATTTTTAAAGATATAATTTTAAAATTTTAGGAAACCCCTGATTCTTTGAATTAAATTATATATTCATGAAGAGCTTTCAATAACCGAAAGAGTACCTACCTTGAACAATATACAGCTGGGAGAAGTATCTGTCTCATGAAAGAGTGTCAAGGTTAAAGAGACTTTTCAAGATACAAAGCACTATATATTCTAATTGTGAAGTTGTATTTTACACATTCAAATTATTTTTTCTGACAGATTTGTTTGCATGGTAGCTTCCACCACATTTAACCTAAATATCTGGTTGGCAACACTGAAATTTTTGGTTCTAGATTTCATGGGTTAATTTTCTAAACTAAGGAATTAGTTTCAACTTAATCACAAATACATAACCTTGATAGCATTATCACACGGGTAAACTGATCACAGTCTTTCTCAAGGTCACAAAGAAAGCTGGCTTCAGAATTTGAATTAGAGTTCTTATTCCTATTTTAAGCCTGGGAGATCACAACATTTGACCTTTTCTTCACCCCAACTTCTTCTTGCTGCCTGCAGTTTTCAGGTTCTGAACCTGACCTAAGGATAGCTAACCTTTAGTGTGATAGTCATGTCTCTAGTGATATTGCTTTGGGGAAAAAATTATGAAATGCTCACTTTGGTTTTCTTCAGATTCAGGGATTACATTGGGTAAACCATAATTTTCTGCCAGAATCATCCTGACTTGTATGATTTATCAGCTGGTTAAATAATATAAGAATGAATGAGAGTCAAGCTCTGTTTTTTTCTCTGGCTTACTGGTTGTCCTTGCAGTATTGCAAAGTGTTTCTAAGGCCAGTGTATTCTTCATATGTAAGTAGTAATTATAAATTGAAAACAAGGTTCTCAGAAACAATGTTTAACCATAAGTAACCACTGACCATTCCTGTCTGTACAATCATCTCTCCATAATTAGTTGGACTTCATAGGCTTGTGCCACAACTTGTTTTGATCACACATAGCAATTATATATTTATACATTTCAACACATTACTCAGTGCTGCCCTCTAGGGATTCCTTTCTCTAAATGCTCTATGTCTCTGTTCATAGGATACCCAGGTAATTTGTACCTTAGCTGAGCTTTTCAAGGAATTACTTAGTTTGGAGAATGTAGGGCATGTGGTAGGCCTGACAGTAAATTAGTTAACAAATATTTAGTGAGCACTTGTTAATACCAATCTCTGGAAAGAGTGTATTTAGGAGCTGCCAAGGATTATGCCCTGGACCATGGAGCTGGCTTTCTCACACTGAGCAATATTCCCCTGGGATCCTGACTACATTTGTCAGCCAGCTAAATGAAGTAGGTGTGGATTTAGCAATGCACTTCCTTTGATGTCTTTGATTTGCTACAACAGAAATGCCATTACCTCAATATCTGAAAGCAGGACTTCTGAAAGATGATAGAGAAGAGATGGAGCCTGGGGAATTCAGTCCATAGGCTAGACTATTGTGGACTGCTTGCCCAAGAGTTTTTTTTGTGAAAACCAATTATCTTGACTAAATGGGGTCACTCTTATGAAGCTTAAATAATATTTCTTTGAATTATGCTTCTACTTTAAATATGTTTCAATAAGTTAACTTACTTTTTAGTTTTCAAGGACATGGTGGAATTCACTGACTCAAATAAGACCACCATCTTATCTAGGTTTAATACTTTTTTGAGAAATTCAGAGCCCCTCTTTCTTTATTTCAGTAAATTTTCCAAGGAGCTTGTGAGGCTAAAATATCTGAAATAGCAAAACAGATAGGCTTGGCATTTTACTTTGTGATCAAGGAATAACTTGATCCTTGAGTTTAAAGTACTAGCTGGCCTTAAAACTCTTGGCTCAGTGTCCTTTTTCCAGAAGCAGGTACTTTGAAAGATCTCCACAGTTATTCTAAGAAAAATTCTGTTCCAAGCTATCCTCCTTTATCACTAAAGTGTGAAACATTAGGAAAAGAATTTGGAAGAGAAGGATGGTATTAATATATCAGTCATCTTCTTTTCTGGCTATACAGGCAAAGTAGTGACTTGATATTTAGTATATAGAACTTAAAAATATCTTGTGCTAATGAGGGTATTAGGATGTGTGTGAGACCTCTGGAGTATACTCAAAAGAGTACTGACCCTCAGAACAGAAAATTTGAATCCTGGCTCTAAAATTTAAACAAGTCACTTATTCCTTTTGAGCCTTCATTTTCTCATAAAAATGTATTTGTACCTCCAAGCACTTTGGGCATTCCTCTAATGTTGGTCACACTATATAGTAATCAATGCCTCACTTTTCCTCTAGACTAAGAATTTAGGGTCTTCTATATACAGTGGTGCCAAATGCAAGACTGGCACATGGTAGAGGTTCAATAATAATTTGTTTAATAATGGTTACATAAATTTTATTGCAAGTTGTAAAGACATTGTATAAATAAATATTGCTATTAGCATATGTTCTGCTCCTAAGGTACAGTGCAGAAATTTCCATCTCCTAATCTTTTTTTTTTTTTGGTTATGTTGAGCGGTTCAGCGGACACCAAATCCTATTTTTTTTTTTTTTGTGGTGGTGGTACTGGGGATTGAACCCAGGGTCTTGTGAATGCGAGGCAAGCACTCTGCTAACTGAGCTGATTCCCAACCCCAGTCTCCTAATCTTATATATTAAAAAATCAACTAGGTAATTCTTTTGAGAATTAACATTAAATTTTAAACAAGTTGCTTTCCATGTTGAAAGAACATGAATTAGGAATTGTAAGTTATTTGCTATACTTCCTCCCATTTATGTAATAAAAGTATGTCTGCTTAGCTTGTATCTCCTAAAAAGCCTAAATTATATAATGATTACAATCCCCTTTTAATTCATACAGTCCTCAAGATATAGTATTTTCAGGACTTACCATTTTTATGTATTCATTAGTTAATAATTGTAAACTAGGTTATTGTGTTTGTCTTATTTTTCTCTTCCACTTCTAATTCCTACTTAATGCATACTTCAGAAAAGAAAGAAAACTTTCCTTCTTTGGGATTTTCAACCACCTGAATATGAACATTCATGGATGGGTTTTCTTTACAATCTTATTGAAAATGTGTAAGAAATTCAGTAACATGCTTTGAGCTTCTTTAGTTTAGACTAAATGGGAAAATATTTTTACTATATGAGATAGGTATATTCCTGCAACCCATGTGTAAATCAAATGCCACATTAAAGTACTTAAGGAAGTCTATTACTTGAAATGAAATCATTCAGCAAATATCTTTGAAAGATAAATAAAAATATCTGATTTCATTTTTCTAAATTTTCCTGTATTGGGCATGTATGAAATACCACCTCAGTTTTAGGGGGGAAGTTTTTGTTGCTAAGTATTTTGAGGAGCTTTCTTTCTTGAAATTTTCTTTGTTAGATTGAAGAGGTAGACACAGTGGAGTGCCTGAAATGTACCAGGTATAATTTTTTTTTTAAGAGTTGACTCTTTTTTCCTTTTAATGCCTTTATTTCTGTTTATTTTTATATGGTGCTGAGGATCAAACCCAAAGCCTCACACATGCTAGGCAAGCACTCTGCACTGAGCCACAACCTAGCCTGTGCCAGGTATATTCTGCACAGATATGAATAAGACCCAATCTTGGAGTTTACATTTTAGTAAATTGTTTTTTATTGGTCCTTTGTATCAGTTTTTGGTTTAAAAGAAAGTAAGTAATAACTAATCATGCGGTCTATGACCTAAAAAAAAAAAAAAAAAAAGTAGGTTTTATTCTGAAGGACCAGCCATTATCAATATTTTATTTTCCATTAGAAGGAAAAATGCTTTTTAAAGAAGAGAAAGCACTCTCTCAGGACTCTGCCTTCATGCTGGTAAATCTCTCAACCATTCAGGAGACATTGTTTCCTAAAGAAAAGGCTAAATATCACCCTATACTTCACCTAGCATGATCCTTTATCTTCTACTTCATCTGAGCTTTTGGGTTGATATTGGATTTTAGAAAACACTTTGCTGTTTATGAAAAGTATTAAAAACCTCAGTCCTCGTAACAGTTTTGAAAAGTGATAAGACCCCTTGCATTTAAAACTATAACTTATATGATGTCACTTGAGCATTAATGGAGCAAGCTTTATAAATCTTCATTGATTAATTGAAAAACTCCTTATTTGAGCTGGTCAGTACTAAACATTTATGTATCTCTTCTTGTGTGCTTGGCCAACTGTGTTAAAAACTTTACATCCATTCTCTTACTTAATTCTAACAATCCTGGGAAGTACATCTTATCACTGTATTACAAAAATGAGGAAACTGAGTTCAAAGAATATGAATAATTTGCTCAAAATCAAAATGTTACAGAGTTTTTTATCTAACTCCTCTCCTCATGAATTTTTTATTTTTTAGCTACCTGACTTAAAAAAACTGCAATGCCAGTAGTGAAATAGCTCTAGTTGGTCTAGTTGAAATGAGGGCTTAGTGTTAAATATATGCATTTAGTATATTAAATAACAGTGGATTTGGTAATATGAATTTGATCATTATCATCCCAGAGTTAACTTTTATTAATTTATCTTCTTTCCAACTGTGTGATTATTTTTTTCATCTTGGAATCATGAGGGAAGCTTATTTCTATTTATGATTTCTTTTTTTCCTTTTAGTGGAATCTAATCAGAAAAGCTCATTCCAGGAAATACCCAAACTTAATGAAGAACTACTCAGTGAACAGAAACAACTTGAGAAGATTGAGTCTGGAGAGCTGGGCTTGAATGATGTCTGGCTCAACATCACAGAAATGAATAAGCAGGTAGCAGTGATTTTATTTCTGTATTAGCTATGAGGGTTGTGAATTTACTTCAGGTTGCTAATTTTTTAAATTGAGGTTTTTCATACTATGATCCCAACACATTTAAAATATGTATTACTTATGCATTTGCCAAATATTTAAAATTTTAACCCTTTCTTAAATGAACAAAGTTCCTCCAAGTTAGAGCAGTGTAGAGGGAGTTGGAAATTGTTGAGTTGGTGTTTTCTATGAGGCAGTATAGGTATCATAAAAAAGGAGTGTCATCCAACCCCCAAGAAAAATGGATAACCTGTTTTTATTGGATTCTGAGAGCTTTGTTTTATTTAATAGAGTTAATAAACATACAGTTGCAGCCTTGGGATGTAGCGCTGTATACTATGCTAAACCAAATCTGGAAATCATACCTAGTGGTGGTTATTCTAGAGTAGCTTAGGAGCAGGTGGTAAAGTAAGCTAAATACTTTGGCCAGGCAAAGAAGCCTAGAATATAAACTTTTCCAGTCCCTAAGTTGGCTAGAGTTCATTAGGCCTTAATTCCTAAAGAGTGAATATGACAGGGCTGGGGTTGTGGCTCAGTGATACAGCACTCGCCTAGCACGTGTGAGGCCCTGGGTTTGATCCTCAGCACCACATAAGTAAATAAATTAATTAAATAAAGAATGTTGACTATGCATCTCATATATATAAGGAGCTATTGTTGTCATTGGGTCTTGTAGCCTGTGTCTGCAGTTTATTCAGTTTATTTGGGAAAGGTGTCATCATTGAAAAGAAAACTCAAGTAACAAATGAATTAAAATAAAAATGAGCAGTTTGGCTAGAGAATACATCAGGTGAAAGCAGACTACACTGAAACTCTGAGAGATAATTAGCATTTCTCCTGAGGCAATCAAATTCCAGTATATCCCATCTCCTTATAAATCATGGAGTTTTTCTGAGATAAAGATGAGATTGTTTAGCATGAATAGGCAAAATGCCTAAAAATAGGTGTGTCATGTTTGTGGAACTAAGAGGATATTCTTTTCTTCAGAGGGGAGTCACAAAGTTCAGAATGAGCCAAACAGTGGGAGTTTGCTGTGGGAGAGAGCACTGTACTAGAGGAAGTACTTGTGATTATTTCTGAAGCTACACCTTTCAACAGTTGTTCGTGAGCTGAGTAGTTCAGTACTTAGGACCAAAGATCAATGACCTGGGCACCACATGACTTCCAGACTTTTGCCTGGAACCCACAGTAAGGAATGTTTTATATAATGACTCAGTAATCACATTCAGACATATGTGTTGTAGTTTGAATGTGTCCCCCAGTAGTTCATGCATTGAAATTTAATCCCCAGATTAATGCTAATGGTATATTAATTGAAACTTAATCCGCCAATGCTAATGGTTAATATAGAGGTAGACTTTTTTGGAGGTAATTAGAATTAAATGAAGTCATAAAAAATAGGACCCCCAATGATGGTATATTAAGAATGATGGCACACTGTTCTGTCTCATCATGTTCATTTGATGTCCTCCATTATATTACCATGCAGCAAGAAGGCCCTCCCAGATGCTGGTGCCATGCTCTTGGGCTTTCCAGCCTCCAGAACCATGAGCTATATATAAATAAACCCCTATTCTTTATAAATTACCCAGTCTCTTATGTTCAGTTATAGCAACAGAAAATGATCTAAAATGCTATATGTAACTGAGATAAGTTTCTGAAAACAGTGGCACACCCTAAATATGTATGATGCCTTATGGCTTGTTATTTCCTATTCAATTCTATTTTGGAGTTTTTAAAAATTATTTATGAAATAATTGATAGGCTATAGTGCCTAGTACTTACTAGTTGCCATTTATGCTTGGACTCCGTAACAAAATAGGGACAAGCAGGTATTCACTCCTTTCATGCAAAAAGAATAGGATAAACTGTGGCCTTGCGTACATTCACACAGAAAATGAGCAATTTGGGCAGAGATTATATCAGGTGAAAGTAGACTACACTGAAATCCTTTGAGATAAAATTAGTCTCTCCTGAGGCAATCTGAGGATTCCAGTAGCTAGTCATGGAGTTAACTATTCTGAGATGAGGATGAGATTGTTTAACAAGAAGAGGCAACATCAGCTATTTCCCATCTCCTTATAAATGGCATTGTATGAAGAATCAAAGGGAAATTGGTTCTTAGTATGAGAAGACAGATTTTTTTTCACATGTTTGGGATATATTTTGATTTCCAAATTCTCTTTAACCAGAAATCTGGACACAAAAGAATCACTTTTATTCCTGGCCTGGCCATTATTTTTAATGCAAAAAGTATCTGGGAAGAAGGCTGGGGCAGTTGCTCAGTGATAGAGTACCCACCTCCCATGTGTGAGGCACTGGGTTCAGTCCTCAGCACAACATAAAAATAAATAAAGATATTAAAAAAAAAAAAGTACCTGGGAAGACAGGTATATCGAGAAGTTTACTTCAGTCCTTGGGTTTTATATATGAAACTGGGAAGATTGAATTGCAACCTTTTCCATTTTAGCTTCAATATACCTTCAGAGATGCTGGGAGTGACTAATGAAGTCAGCCTAACACAGCAATTCTTTACTGGCCTGGGCCCAAACAGTGAATGGATGGTGGTGAAGCAGAGTTTCATGTTGTTTCCAAAGGGAGTGCAGCACTCTGAGTGTTTTTCTAATGGCATCTCTAATGGCATTTGTCCTAAACCAAAATAGGTATAAAAATAAAATTAATATTTAACTGTTTCTATATCTAAAGGTAACTGTCCATTAAGATGCTTTTAGTGGCATTTTTAAAAGTAATTCAAAGTGACTTAAACAACAAGAAAATGTATTTCATCACTTAACAAAGCACTGTCCTTACCACAATGTAAGTTGAAGTTAATGCAGTTTTTAAAACAAAAGCTATCAGTTTGGAAAGCATAAAATCGTATTTTCCCTTGAAAAGTCTTTAAACTAGTAGTTGAAATGTATTCATAAAAACCTCTGAATTTATATCTATTTCTTCTTGACCATTATAGGGACTCTTCTCCCTTTTCTTTGAAGATTATTAATGCCACAAATGTTTACTAAGCTGCTTTTATGAAACTAAGTCTTGGATTCTGTTTTAGTCCATTCAGGTTACTATAGCAAAATACCTTAAACTAGATAACTTACAAACAACAGCAATTTATTGTTCACAGATCTAGAGGCTTGGATGTACAGAGTCAAGACACTAGCAGGCTGAATGTCTAGTGAACATTCATTTCTCTGCTTCATACATCCTGCTATGTCAGACATAGCAGGATGTATGAAGACATCTTACTATGTCTTCCCATGTCAGAAGGAGCAAACAAGCTACCTTGGATCTCTTCTGTGAAGACACTAATTTCATTCATGAGAGTGGAGCCTATATCATGTCTCAGAGGCTCCACCAATTAATGCCACCACATTAGGGATTAAGTATCACCATATAAATTTTAGGGTGACACAAAATTCATAGCATAATAGATTTAAAACCAAAAAGATGTAATTTCTTTCCTCAAGGGTCTCACCAAAAAAGTGGAAGTTTTTTTTTTTGGTTTTTTTGGGTTTTTTTTGGTACCGGGGATTGAACTCAGGGGTACTCAAGCACTGAGCCACATCCCCAGCTTTATTTTGTTTTTTTATTAGAGACAGGGTCTCACTAAGTTACTTAGCACCTCGCTGTTGCTGAGGCTTTGAACTCATGAATCTCCTGTCTGAGCCTCCAGAGCCGCTGGGATTACAGGCATGAGGTTTTTTTGTTTTTTTTTTAAGGTATAAATAGTTGTAAACAGCCTAATAAACAATAAGAAACAGGTTCAAATGACTACTGTGAGTGCATATTTAAGTATATATTCAACCAAGGCTGGGGTCAGTTGAGATTTCCCAAAGATGTTGAGCTGAGTCCTGAAGGAAAAATAGGAGTTGGCCAGGTAAATTTTTGAGAAAGAGAAGAGGGTACTTAGCTTAAAGCATTAGTATAGCCTGTCCTCCTAAAATTTGTAAATTCCATATTTGCAAATTCACATGCTGAGTAAAATTTATTTGTAACTCCAAAGTCTATATTTGGGAGGCTTTTGTAGTCATTCACTGACTTGTTCACAGAAGTAAAAATTTGAGTCACTCAGTACACATTTACAGCTGAGGTTGAACAATGCAACACACTGCTTTCTTGTTTCAGGTCTTATACTATAAACAAGTGTCTTCTTTATAGTATATTTAATGCCACATTTTTCCTATTTTTATACTTTTTGTTGGTGATTTTACTGTTTCAATGTCGCCAAGGCCTAGAGATAAAGTTCTATGGTGTTTTTAAATGCAAGGAGACTGTGGTATGCCTTTGAAGTAAATATATATATATACTTGCTTCCTTCAAGCACGACTTGAAGTAGTGCTGTTAGTGAGTGAACAATATGCATTAAATAATATTTTTAAACAAAAACATGCATAAAACAAAATTATGTATTATATTGATCAGTTGACAAAAATGTGATGGAAAAAAGGTCTGGTAGGAACGTAACCCTGCATTTCCCCTAGGAACAGCAGTTTAGTATTCACTAGTTCAATATTTGCTGCAACTTTTCTAGACGATAACTACCACTACCAATGAAAATGAACTTTATGTGCAAGAGAATAGATGAATAGAAACACAATGTGTTTAGGGAATTTTAGTCATTCTTTATAGCTCTATCATAATAGAAAGAGTCCAGAGATCAAATCCCTCAACAAGAACCATTAACAAAAAGAACCTTGAGTGCCCTTCTGTAGTACTCCCTATATCTTTAAGCACTTGGTCCAAATAACGTGTGTTATGGTTATTTGCATGTGTATCTAATTGCACTAGAAGGTTATATAATGTATTCTGAACCTTAAGCATGATGATGAAAGTGATGGTGATGATAGTGGTGGTAGGTTACCACGTAATGATAATTGCCATTATTGAGTATTCTCTTTGTGTAGTCCACTATTAGATGCACTGCATCTGTGATCGTCTTTGTTTATATAGCCCTA